CGCACGCACACACACACCGCGCTGCACCCGCCCTCGCCACGCGCGCAGCGCCGCACCATACACCCGCACGGTACCTACACACGCACGCACACACACACAGTGCCGCACCATACACCCGCACGGTACACACATACACACGCACGCACACACACACCGCGCTGCACCCGCCCTCGCCACGCGCGCAGCGCCGCACCATACACTCGCACGGTACGTACACACGCACGCACACACACACCGCGCTGCACCCGCACTCGCCACGCGCGCAGCGCTGCACCATACACCCGCACGGTGCGTACACACGCACGCACACACACACAGTGCCGCACCATACACCCGCACGGTATGTACACACGCACGCACACACACACCGCGCTGCACCCGCCCTCGCCACGCGCGCATCGCCGCACCATACACCCGCACGGTACGTACACACGCACGCACACATACACAGTGCCGCACCATACACCCGCACGGTACGTACACACGCACGCACACACACACCGCGCTGCACCCGCCCTCGCCACGCGCGCAGCGCCGCACCATACACCCGCACGGTACGTACACACGCACGCACACACACACCGCGCTGCACCCGCCCTCGCCACGCGCGCAGCGCCGCACCATACACCCGCACGGTACGTACACACGCACGCACACACACACCGCGCTGCACCCGCCCTCGCCACGCGCGCAGCGCCGCACCATACACCCGCACGGTACGTACACACGCACGCACACACACACCGCGCTGCACCCGCCCCCGCCACGCGCGCAGCGCCGCACCATACACCCGCACGGTACGTACACACGCTCGCACACACACACCGCGCTGCACCCGCCCTCGCCACGCGCGCAGCGCCGCACCATACACCCGCACGGTACGTACACACGCACGCACACACACACCGCGCTGCACCCGCCCTCGCCACGCGCGCAGCGCCGCACCATACACCCGCACGGTACGTACACACGCACGCACACACACACCGCGCTGCACCCGCCCTCGCCACGCGCGCAGCGCCGCACCATACACCCGCACGGTACGTACACACGCACGCACACACACACCGCGCTGCACCCGCCCCCGCCACGCGCGCAGCGCCGCACCATACACCCGCACGGTACGTACACACGCACGCACACACACACCGCGCTGCACCCGCCCTCGCCACGCGCGCAGCGCCGCACCATACACCCGCACGGTACGTACACACGCACGCACACACACACCGCGCTGCACCCGCCCTCGCCACGCGCGCAGCGCCGCACCATACACCCGCACGGTACGTACACACGCACGCACACACACACCGCGCTGCACCCGCCCTCGCCACGCGCGCAGCGCCGCACCATACACCCGCACGGTACGTACACACGCACGCACACACACACCGCGCTGCACCCGCCCTCGCCACGCGCGCAGCGCCGCACCATACACCCGCACGGTACCTACACACGCACGCACACACACACTGTGCCGCACCATACACCCGCACGGTACACACATACACACGCACGCACACACACACCGCGCTGCACCCGCCCTCGCCACGCGCGCAGCGCCGCACCATACACTCGCACGGTACGTACACACGCACGCACACACACACCGCGCTGCACCCGCCCTCGCCACGCGCGCAGCGCCGCACCATACACCCGCACGGTACGTACACACGCTCGCACACACACACCGCGCTGCACCCGCCCTCGCCACGCGCGCAGCGCCGCACCATACACCCGCACGGTACGTACACACGCACGCACACACACACCGCGCTGCACCCGCCCTCGCCACGCGCGCAGCGCCGCACCATACACCCGCACGGTACCTACACACGCACGCACACACACACAGTGCCGCACCATACACCCGCACGGTACACACATACACACGCACGCACACACACACCGCGCTGCACCCGCCCTCGCCACGCGCGCAGCGCCGCACCATACACTCGCACGGTACGTACACACGCACGCACACACACACCGCGCTGCACCCGCACTCGCCACGCGCGCAGCGCTGCACCATACACCGGCACGGTGCGTACACACGCACGCACACACACACAGTGCCGCACCATACACCCGCACGGTATGTACACACGCACGCACACACACACCGCGCTGCACCCGCCCTCGCCACGCGCGCATCGCCGCACCATACACCCGCACGGTACGTACACACGCACGCACACATACACAGTGCCGCACCATACACCCGCACGGTACGTACACACGCACGCACACACACACCGCGCTGCACCCGCCCTCGCCACGCGCGCAGCGCCGCACCATACACCCGCACGGTACGTACACACGCACGCACACACACACCGCGCTGCACCCGCCCTCGCCACGCGCGCAGCGCCGCACCATACACCCGCACGGTACGTACACACGCACGCACACACACACCGCGCTGCACCCGCCCTCGCCACGCGCGCAGCGCCGCACCATACACCCGCACGGTACGTACACACGCACGCACACACACACCGCGCTGCACCCGCCCTCGCCACGCGCGCAGCGCCGCACCATACACCCGCACGGTACGTACACACGCACGCACACACACACCGCGCTGCACCCGCCCTCGCCACGCGCGCAGCGCCGCACCATACACCCGCACGGTACGTACACACGCACGCACACACACACCGCGCTGCACCCGCCCTCGCCACGCGCGCAGCGCCGCACCATACACCTGCACGGTACGTACACACGCACGCACACATACACAGTGCCGCACTATACACCCGCACGGTACGTACACACGCACGCACACACACACCGCGCTGCACCCGCAGCGTAAAATAACAGCTTAACGCTGCTATTTTACGCTGGTATGTGTTTTGGTATTTGTTATTGTGTTTCGTATGGTGAGTGTAGAGAACCGAGACCCTTTTTACTGGAAACGAGGCATTCCATCTTAGTCCTCACGGGTGACAACGCATCTGCATTTTGATTCGTAATCGTGGGTAGATGTAGACGTCTATGGACCACAGCAACCACTTACCATCAGGTGGACTGTGTGCTCCTTTGTTACCCTTATCCTATAAAAAAGCGGATTGAAAAGCGATACTTGAAGTCCTTCAGAAGCTCTTTAATTCCGTCCTCCGTGGTAAGCCACTCTGGATGAGTGGAGCAGAAGTACGGTGGGCTTGTTCTTCAAGAAAGGCGGCAACGCTTTCTTGAAGCTACAGACAGATTTCCCTTCTGAGCCGCGCCTGCTGTTTTCGAATCATTACGAATCCTCTTGCACGCAGACTCGACGATTTCCAGCCTTCCGAACAAGGTGGTTTCCGAAAAGGCTTTAGCACCATAGACCACATACATACCCTTCGGCAGATTATACAGAAGATCGTAAAATCGAGTAAAATCTTTCATTTTGTCATACGCAAGAGTGGACTATGAAAGAGCCTTTGATTCCGTCGAAATTGGGGCGGTACTGCAGTCTCTTCAGCGGTGGTAAGTGGACTGTCGGTGTATCGAAGTGCTGAAGTATTTGTACAATAGAACTACGATGACTATCCGAGTACACAACCAGAGTACGAAACCTATCCAACTGCAGAGAGGTGTAAGACATAGTGACTTTGTATCCCCGAAACTCTTCACCGCTGCATTGGAAGACGTTTTCAAGCTACTGGACTCGAAAGGATACGGTATTAACATCAATTGCAAGTACATCACTTACCTACGATTTGCCGACGATGTAGTTCTTACGGCAGAATCGCTGAAGGATCTAAGCACTATGCTCAATGACCTCAATAGTGTTTCCCAACGGATTGGTCTTAAGATGAACTTGGAAAAAACAAAGATCATGTATAACGTTTATTAACTGACACCTATGCCGGTAGTACGTAGTTGGTAGCACTAAGCTCGAAGTTATGGACGAGTATGTTACCGGTCAATCGACGGATTCAACTCTGATGAGCAGCGTTCGGGAAATTACGACACGTCTTCTCGTCAGGTATACCTCAAAACGAGTGATGACTTATAGATCTGAAACATGGTCCTTCACTGCAGGCCGTATGAGGATGCTCAAGATCGCTCAGCAAGCTATGGCGAGGGCTATGCTCGGAGTTTCTCTGCGTGATAAACTTAGAAATGAGGATATCCGCAGTAGAACCAGAGTAACCGACATAGCCCAACGGATTAGTAATCTGAAGTGACAGTGGGCTGGAAGAACCGACAACCGATAGGGGAAAAAGGTTCTCGAGTGGTAGCCTCATACCGGTAGGCGAAGTGTAGGGCGCCCCCACTAGATTTCTACGTGGTAGAGCCATGCTGCAGCTATATTATGGTTGTAGCACGAATGGGTCGGCTCGACCGGGGAAGGACCACGCTCTCACAGAAAACCAGCGTAAAATAGCAGCTTAACGCTGCTGTGTTTCGTATGGTGAGTGTAGAGAACCGGAGACCCTTTTTACTGGCAAAGAGGCATTCCATCTTAGTCCTCACGGGTGACAACGCATCTGCATCTTGAGCCTTTATTGAGGATAGATGTAGATGTCTATGGGTCACAGTAACCACTTACCATCAGATGGACTGTGTGGTCGTTTGTCACCCGACCCTATAAAAAAAAAGATGGAGTGACGACCTGGTAAGACATGCAGCTAGCTCAGGACTGTGCTTTGTGGCATTTCTTGGGGGTGGCCTATCTTCAGCAGTGGACTTGTGAAGGGCTTTAATGATGAATGATGAATTTTTACATTATAGAATGCAAATAAAATATTGAGTATTGAGTTATTAATTTTTTACTATTGTGATAGGTATCCTATTTTGTTTAAGAGTTTCTTAATCAAGAAACCTCGCTCAGAGCCATTTTTATCGCTAAGCAGCAGTGCATTAAGTGTTGTTCCGATTAGAAGGAAGTAGAATGATGGTATAAGAAAAGTTCTTCATCGAGGTTGGTTAAAATTGTTTATAAGCTACGGTAACTGAATCGGCTTCTTTGTCCCTTATGCCTGAATTAAAAAAAAAATCTTATATTTCAGCGGCGGCGGAGATTCCCGACAGTCCAGACCAGCCACACCAGCACTCGGATCACGACAGTGATTCCTCAGTCTTTGATACAGTAAAAAGCCCCAGCCGTACTTCCATCGACCAACTAGATCAGGTAAAAAAGATTAAACATTTTTTTCACAACATTCTCAAAAAAAGATGCTCTTTATTACATTAATAAACATTTATCGGTGGTTTCCATTTTAAAACATCCAAAAAAATTATGAAATAAGTAGAACCTTCGTATGAACTCACTGTATAATTATTTCTTGCACTAATTGTTTTCCAATTGACGCGGGTAAATTTTGGCGGCCTGTGGCGGCCATTTTGTATTGGTAACATCTATCAAATGTTTTGTTTATTATTCAGTTACTTATGCCAAATCACCATGGCAAATTACACGATTGAACAGCGCGTTCAAATGATAAAACTTTATTATCAAAATGAGTGTTCGTTAGTGCAAACGTTGCGCTTATTGCGCCCATTTTACGGTGGACGCGGTGGCCCTTCACAGTCGACACTTCATCGTTTGGTGGTCAAAATTGAAACGACCGGTTCACTTGTACGGTTTGTGAAAGTGTACAGCATAACCCGAGGCAGTCAGTTCCTCGCCTTGCAACGGAACTCGGCCTTTCGCAGACTTCAACTTGGCGAATTTTGCATCGGGACTTAGGTCTACACTCGCACAAGAGCCAACTGACCCAGGAGCTCAAAGCTCATGACCTTACACAACGCCGTTTCTTCGCTGACTGGGCGTCGAATCGTTTGGAAGAGGACTCCAATTTTGGCCGAAATATCATCTTTAGCGACGAGGCGCATTTTCGGATGAATGGCTGTGTTAACAACCAGAATTGCTTTATATGGGACGGCACCAACCCACGCGAGGTTCACCAGGTGATAATGCATCCTCATAAAGTTACCGTTTGGTGTGGATTTTGGGCCGGCGGCGTCATATTGGTCCGTACTTTTTCGAAAACGACGCTGGTGAGGCGGTCACCGTCAATGGCCAGCACGACGATAACCAATTTCTTATAGCCCAAATTGAACCATATGGACCTAGATGACATGTGGTTAAAGCAGGACGACGCTACGTACCATAGAATAGAATAGAATATTTTTTATTCAATATACATTACATGTGTAATTCTTATTGAAAGTCATTTTTTACTTTACCACTGGTTCGAAAAAAACCCTCTGTCCTGGGAAGAACCAGCAAGAAACCCAGCGGGACTTTTTTTTAAATAAATTTTACAATATAAATGATTACGAACTATTTACAAAATTTATTTTAGAAACTGCTTGGAAGCGATCACCTCATGCCCAGGGATTATTATCAACCATGTATTCATTTATACTATAATAACCATTTTTATACAGTTTCAGCTTAATAAAACATTTAAACTTGGTAATAGAGAGAACCTGTACACTTTCCGGGACCTTGTTGTAATAGCGTATACATTGCCCCAAGAATGAATTACTGACTCTGTGGAGTCGAGAAACTGGTATCACTAGCTTGTGTTTGTTCCTAGTGTTTACAGAATGTATATTACTTCTTTTACTAAAACTATCTTTGTTTTTGTGAACATACATTAAATTTTCGTAAATATACTGAGAGGCCAAAGTTAATATATTAATTTCTTTAAATTTATCTCTAAGAGACTCTCTCGGTTTTAGATTGTAAATAGCTCTAATGGCCCTCTTCTGTAAAACAAAAATAGTTTCTGAATCAGCCGCATTTCCCCATAGCAAAATCCCATAAGACATTATGCTATGAAAATAACTAAAATAAACTAATCTAGCTGTCTCGACACTAGTGAGACCTCTAATCTTTTTTACAGCATAGGCTGCAGAACTTAGTCTGCTTGCTAATTTGGATATATGGGGGCCCCACTGTAGCTTTGCGTCAAGAGTGATGCCAAGAAAAACAGTGGATACAACAGGGCTCAATTCCTCCCCATTTAAAAACACATTGGTATTAAGATTTTTAACATTCGTTGTTGTAAATTTAACACAATTAGTTTTATTTCCGTTCAAATGCAGATTATTAACGTTAAACCAATGCACTAATTTTGATATAGCATTATTCACTTCGTCACATTTAAATGATTGACGTTTAAGTTTAAAAATCAAGGAAGTATCATCAGCAAATAATACTATATCATGACTATCCCCTACAAGGTAAGGTAAGTCATTAATATACACCAGAAACAGGAATGGGCCGAGAATCGAGCCCTGAGGTACACCCATTAGTACAGGTGACCCGGAAGAACTTTTACCATTGATAATAACCTTCTATTTTCTATTACTTAAATATGAAATAATAAGTTTAAGCGCTGTGTTCTTGACACCATAGTACTGTAGCTTCCTGATTAATGTCTCATGGTGAACACAGTCGAAGGCCTTGGAAAGGTCACAAAATATACCCAAAGCATCCTCTGAATTCTCCCATGCACAAAAAATATGTTTAATAAGCTCAACTCCAGCGTCAGTTGTAGAGCGACCCCTTGTAAAACCGAATTGATTATTATGTAGCAATTTATTAATATTAAAGAAACTTAACATCTGATCTAAAATAATTTTTTCAAAAATTTTACTTAATGTTGGTAGTACAGAAATTGGTCTAAAATTGGCGGGGTCTAATGTACTACCAGATTTAAATATAGGTATGACTTTACTATGTTTCATTAAATCAGGAAACACACCAGATTCGACGCTTATATTAAATATAGTGGCTAGATAAGGTGCTAATGTATCTATTATAGATAAAATAACTTTAACGGAAATCCCCCATAAGTCTGCCGTTTTCTTAACATCAATAGTTTTAAAATATTTAACGATATCTTTTGGCAGTACCCTATGGAATTTAAAAGTATTTGAACAAGCCTTTACATTTTGTTTGAGCAATGATTCGGCGACAGTAGGAGAAGAATTTAATGATTTTGTTGTCAAAAAAGGAACATCAGTAAAATGTTTCTCAAAAGCCATAGCAACTTCTTGATCAGATCGCGTTAAATTATTGTTAATATTCAATTGAAAATCCGAGTTGCGCGGTTTGACCTTGCCCGTTTCACTATTTATTATTCTCCAGGTCATTTTAATTTTGTCGGATGCAGTTTTAATTTTGTTGCTTAAATGTAAAGCCTTAGCAGTGGAGCACACTTTTTTAAATATTTTAGAATATGTTTTTACATAATCTCTAAATATAACACTACTATTATATGATCTTTCATCATAAAGCTCGTATAACCTTCGCCTACTTTTATAAATTCCTACTGTCGCCCATTCATTAAATGATTTGCGACTGTTAAAAGAGAAAGTTTTAGAAGTAAATATTCTACTAAATTCACAACGTATAATTTCAAATAATGTAGCATACAAATAATTAGCACTATTTTTAAACGAAAGTGATGGAAGTCTTTTTATTATATTACTTCTAAACCTCTCCAAGCGATGTTCATTTATTGGAACAAACACAACTTTCTTATTTTTCTGTTTTTTGTGTATGTAATGTAGTGATACTAACTGTCCACAGTGATCTGAACTTAAATTTTGAATAATTGATTTATGCAAGGGCTTAACATCTGTAAAAATGTTATCTATACAGGTCGCACTAGGCCCAGCAATACGTGTTGGTTCTAAGAATAAATTTACAAGATTATACGATTTAAACAATGAGCTAAACTTAATACTAATGGAAGAAGTTTCAAGGAGATTGATATTAAAGTCTCCACACATTACAACAGACTTGTTCTGTTTACTAAGTTTGAGTAAAACTTCTTCCACAATCCTTTCAAAATGGTCATAAGTAGCATATGGGGGTCTGTAAACACTTACAACAATGAGGTGCTCGAGCTCGACACAAGCCATTTCTACAGTTCGTTCAACAGAGAGGCTCACAATATCCTTACGTTCTTTATATACATTACGTTCTTTCTTCACATACTGCGGACGCCACGATTGACATTCTTCGTGAGCGATTTGAGGGTAAGCTTATCTCTCGCAGGGTTGATGTGAATTGATGTGAATTGTGATTGGACCAAGGTCATGCGATTTGACCCTGCTAGACTTTTACTTGTGGGGTTTCTTGAAATCGCAGGTTTATGCAAACAAACCACAATCGACTGATGTCCTGAAAGTGAACATAAGACAGGCAGGCCATCGCTCAAATTCAGCCGGATCTGTGCAGAAGAGTCATCGAAAATTGGACAACTCTGATCTGTGCCACTGTAAGAAGCTGAGGCGGGCATTTGAACGATGTCATATTCCACACTTAATGGCACTTGTGGGCATTCCAAATAAAAAAGAATTTTGTTAATACCTCACACACAGTTTGTTTTATTTTATTTCAACATCTACCCGCCCTTATTGAAAACCCCTTTATATATTGTAAGGTATTTGATTCCTCGATACATGATACTCTCATAAAAAAGAAACTAGAAAGGTCTAGTTTTAGAGGATCACTTTTAAGCTTGTGTACAGATTATGTAGTATTATATAATATATATATATATATATATATATATATATATATATATATATATATATATATATATATATATATATTGTGTGCCTTACAAAAATAAAAATAAACAAGCACATTTACTCCAGTCCTATCAAAAATAATAACGCTCCACAGACCGAATTTGGTCAAGTCGGCCAGTCTAAACGAAGTCTTCTGTTGATGCAGATTCTACTTGTTAGGCATCATACATATTTAGTACTGATTATTGATAATAGGGATAAACCTCACTGGCAGAATCACATTGATTATAGCGTAATAAATTAAGACCAAATTTAAAGAAATTTCATATTATAGTAAAATAGTTCTATCCCAACCCTTGGGTGTCATTATAAACGACGGTGGGAAACTAAAATATTAGATGGACAGCAGCCAAACCGCCTGCAAGCGTGGCAACTATGACAAATATAACCCTTATGAGGCAAACTATGGTAAGGGCTATGCAGCAGTTGATTTAGATACATGCTGTAATAATGATGATGATACGAACGTACGTAAAGACCAGTAGAATCGGAGCTATATGAACCTCCAAAGGATATGTTTATGATTATAATAGACAAAAAAACCATAGACCAAATAAAATCCATTAAAATTTATTTCTTACTAAATACAGCTCATATTTTCAGAATGGGACTCATCCACTAGGGTCCAGTTCCTCAGTTACCAGTGGGTCCAGTGGTTACAAAGTAAGTATTTACACTATTGTAAGTATACTTTATTGTATGTTATAAGCTTTTATAATTTATAAATAATATACAATATATTTAATAATATTTTATCACAACAGATTTTCAATGTAATTTTTCTATACAACATATGAAATTGACGTTTTGTACGGGAGTAATATAAAATCAATTTATTTTTGGAAAAATATTTAATTAGTCAAAGTATGTTGTTGTCTATGCACTTTTGTCATCTCATAGGTAGTTCATTGATCCCTTTATTAAAAAAAATCCATGGGGGCGAGAATCAATAAACTCTTTGAAGGCGGTTTGGACTGCCACATCGGAGTTGAATATTTTTCCTTGTATGAAGTTGTCCGAATTCCGGAAAAAATGGTAGTCTGTTGGAGCAAGGTTCGGGGAGCACGGTGGATGTCGCAGACATTCCAATCGTAGCTTATCTAACTTAGTGGTTGTTTGTTGTGCAGTGTGTGGTATTGCGTTGTCGTGAAGCAGCAGTGGCCTAGAGCGATTGACCAATCTCGGTTGTTTAGCAGCTAGTTCTTCCTTCATGGTTTGCAGTTGCTGACAATAGATATCTGCCGTAATCGTTTGGTCAGATTTTAAAAAGCTGTAGTGAACGACACCGGCGCTAGTCCACCAAACACTCACAAGTAACCTTTTCTAAGTCAATTTTAGATTAGGGCAGGATTTGGCTGGGTTGGAGACTCAGCCAAATCTTTTTCAGTTTGGTTCAGCCATTGCGACGAGCGCTTCCTATTATCGTACAGTATCCACTTTTCATCACAAGTAATGATTCAATTTAAAATCCCTTCCTTATTGTGTCGGTTGAAAAAAGTAACACAGCAGTCAACGCGTGTTTGCAAGTTCGATTCACTCAATTCATGAGGTACCCATCGTTCTAGTTTTTTTTTTTACTTTCCCAATTTGCTTCGAGTGGATTAATACAGTTTTATCACTTACCCCGAGGCCTGCAGCTATCTATAAGTGCTTTGTGATGGATCCGCTTCCACAATAGCCTTTAATTCTTCATTTTCCACTTTGATCTCCGGCCGTCCACGGGGTTGGTTCTGAAGGTCAAAATTTCCAGAATGAAAACTTTGAAACCAAAAACGTACCGTGCTTTCGAGCTGTTTCTGCAGCACCAGTGCCATGGTAGAACTCGCACTCGTAAATATACCGATATTTCATGTTTTCCATTGTGCGGTAATAAGCGACGCCAAAGAAAAAAATAATGAGGAAAAAACAAATGAATGACTGTTTTAAAAACTCAAATGTACCAGCTAAATGAATTTATAAATTTGAATTTGGAATTCTTAACCAAAGAGGAGATATTTCAGATCAAAGTGGTCAGTACGACAAAACGCTAATTTCATATGTAAGGACCTAATACAATAAAATGTTTATGAAAATAGAATGTATAGTTGCTTTTAAAAACTTTTCTGCGGATACCTAACAGTCGAAAAATAAATAGCTATCCACTGCATCAATTATTGTTCTACACGTGTTTTATAAAAATATGATAGCACTTATTTAGAACCTAATATTAATATTTTTAAGAGGTATATTCGGTTGCAGTGCTCACGCCGCTGTGTTCTGGTCTGAAGTGTATAAAGAGTCGGTATAATTACAGGCTGTGATTGTGTGTGCATTCCATCTTAGTCTTCAGAGGTGACAAACGCATCTGTAAACTTCTTTATTTGAAGTTGGTTGCGGAAGTGTCCGTGGACAAAAAGACACCTTTTTTAGTAGAGGGGCCAAATGAGCAAACGGCTCATCTGATGGTAAGTGACTACCGCCGCCCATTAACAACTGCAACACCAGGAGAATTGCAGGTGTGTTGCCGGCCTTTTAGAAAGGAGTAAGCTCTTTTCTTGAAGGTCCCTAAGTCGCATCGGTCCGGAAAAATCGCCGGTGGTAAACTATTTCACAGAGAGGTCGTACGCGGAAGAAAACTCCTAGTGAAACGTACAGGGGTGGACCGCGAAGCATCCAGATGGTGTGGATGGTAGCGGGAGTTTTGTAGCAGTGTACGTTCGTGAAATTTGGCGAACAATTCCTCAGAGCACTCCCCGTGGTAGATGCGAAAGAAAATGCAAAGGAATGCAACATTTCTTCGCGGCGCCAGTGAATCGACCCGATCGGAAAGGACTCCGTCGTTGACGATTCGAGCCGCTCTGCGCTGGATGCGGTCAAGCGGAAGGAGCTGGCACTGGGGAGCCCCAGCCCAGAGATGGGAACAATATTCCATGTGAGGCCGAACCTGCGTCTTATAAAGTTGCGGGCGGTGTGCTGGTATGAAATACTGTCCCGCTCTGCTGAGCACGCCAAGCTTTTTAGAGGCCAATTTGGCCTTATTTTCCAAGTGACCACGAAACTGCACGTCACTCGATATGTCGACGACGAGGATTCCGATACTGGCTGAGGCAACAAGGAGAGTGCCTTGAAACTGAGGAGATACGACGAAGGGGTTCTTTTTAGCGGTAAATGCGCAAACTCGTGTCTTTTGGAGATTGATTGAACTGGACTAGATTTAGTCGCCCCCAGTCCGAGACTTTGTTCATCTAAGTCTCGACTTCAGACACAAGTTTCTCCCGGTACTTGGCGACGTTTTTCCGAGAAATATTGGCACGGCCGGTGTATAGAGCATTACCAGTGCTGCGGATGACAGTATAGCAATGAATGTTACCGGTTTGCAACGAAATTAGTATTAGCTAGAGATGGTATTCATTCAATAAATCAAGGAAGTAGTTTGGGTGAATTTTCTTTATTATGATGATATCAAAATAGTTTGTTCCTGTCGCTTCTACGCTGCCATCGCATTGCCCCGCCACCGCCCGTGCATCGCTCGATTGCCCGGCGCCGCTTTCGCTCGTTTCGTGCGCGTCGCTATATTAAATTATGCTTTTGTTTATTATAGATGTGTTTAAAACGCACGTTAGTGCGGTACCCGATGTACATTCATTACAACACCTAAAGCGAATAAAAGACCCTATTTTCGAGTATATAGGGTCGATTATCGTTTGCTTACGGTCGACGTCACACAATGCGTATGTAATCAGTCGTGCGATTGCAGCAAAGTGTCCGCGGGCGGCGCGCCGCCGAGCCAGCCTCCGCCTCACTCGACCACGAGATCATGAGCTGCGGCCGCGACCTGCCAGGTGTGTGGACTTTAACACTAACGAACCAAAGTTCAAAATTGAATGCTCACTTTCACGTACATAATTTACGCACTCGTTTAATAACTGTGTGTGTTAAGTGGCGGTGTCAGAATATCCACTACCTCATATCATCCTGAGCGTGTCATAAGAAGCGATAGAAGGAAGCTGAACGCGGTATCGGGGAGCAGCATCTTCCTGATTACAGCTGAATGAAAAAATGCGGTTTTCAACCCTCTTGACAAGCGTGGCAATTATGTGTTTTTTTATAGAATAAGTGTGACAAATAAGCACACGCCTGATAGTAAGTGGATGCCATGGGCCGTAGACATCTACATTTATCCTCGACTAAGAATCAAAATGTAGATGCGTTGTCACCGCGGAGGACTAAGATGGAATGCCTCGTTTCCAATAAAAAGGGTCTGTGGTTCTCAACACTGACCATAAGATACACAGCAACATTAAACTGCTATTTTACGCTGGTATTCTGTGAGAGCGTGGTCTTACCTCGGTCGGGCCGACCCATTCGTACTACAACCATAAAAGTTGCGGCGTGGTTCTACCACGTTTGCAAGCCACACAAGGCAAGAAATAAACAAAATATCCTTGTACGAGGTAATCTATTTAGGTGGCCTAAGTTCAGCAGTGGTTTTTTGATAGGCTGTAGTGGTAATGGTCACCTGTAATTGTCTTAATGGTCATTCCGAACATAACGTCTTATCGTAATAAAAAAATCACTTTCAATAAGTATTATCTAAAAATCTATATTGAATAAAAATTATTCTATACTATTCTATCATACAGACTCAAGATGCGACCTTAATACCAACGTTACAAGAACTAAACCTGAATGCTCATGAGGACATATGGTTAGCTTTGCTGGGATCGAATAGATGGCGCTGTAGTCAACTTATTAACGAAATCTATATTTATGGACCAAAATGGCTCATATTCACATATTATGTTGGTTTAGTGCCAAAAAAGAATAGTACATAATTTGGACCTGATCGGTGGCGCTTTGGTCGAGTTTAGTCATAAATTTTATATTTACCCTGTAAAAAGAGAGAGGACGATCGGGAGAGATTTCGGAGTGTAACTCATCGCAGTATCTACCGAAAAGGGTTGTGTATAAAGCTACCTGCTCTCATTAAAATCGGTATATCCGGACTGATATGTGAAGAAAAGTACATTAATATTGAGAAGAAACCAATGAATAAAACTGGTGTTTTTGTTTAAGTTTTGCAATATGTATTATTTTTTCTTCTTGATGCCTTGTCGCTAACTTACCAGCAACAACAACTTAAATATTAAATAACTAAAATGTTTTAACACAGGCACCCATACGAAACGGTCGTCGTCGGAGTGTCGAGAGGCAACGTCATCGCCTCGCCGCGGCCTAGAGTCCCGGGACAGTTCCATACGGGACGAGCTGCGCAGGAACAACTCGCTACGGGATTCACGCCGAGAACCGCCCTCCGCACCGCCCGCTAATGCATCGCTCGCGTGAACTGCGACTCCTCCCCTTCATCTCTTCTCCCGCTGCGACATAAAAAAGTCCACACCGACCGTAAGTGAATTTGGTTCTTCACTGGTCCTTCACAAGCCGGACTGTAGTACGAAATAGGCAACTCCACCGCGAAACACTGCCCAGGAATTTATAAAATCAGTACATAACTTGGTAGGCTAGTAAAGGCAGATGTAAAGGTTTGCAAATTGATATCCAAAGATCACGTCTATACACAATCTGTAAATGTAAATAAAATTATACAGTACTGCATACTTGAGATAGTTTACAATCTTTGAACGGATTTTATCGTTACGGTAATGTGTACGTAGAGAATTTACAAAAGTTGTAAATGAAAGTTGTAAAATGTTGGTCGTTATATACAAATTTTTTATGCAATGTGTATAAAATTTACCAAGGCTAGTGTACTGAATATCGCATCTTGTTTTACGGATATCGTACTATAGTCGGGATTATAATAATCTAAGTGTAAAGCGATTTTTTATTTCAATTAATTGGCTATTTATTGAAACAAAAACGTCGCTGAAATACAACTTAAAATATCTGTTTTGATAAGTATATATATATAGCTGTAATTTAGTAAGCTTAAACTTAATGTGTGTAATTAATGAAAAAATAATTGAAAAAAAGTTACATTAATTATTGAAACAAACCGGCCATGTATTTTAAAATGTTAAAAAGCTATCCATGTACTGAATTATTGCTAATTTTAGTTAAGGCCTGAGAAAATGTGTAATGCTGTATTTTTGCAAAAATGTGACAAAATATATTATATATATAAACCTACTGCCGTTAAGTTAGGCAATGCTTAGTGTATAGTTTTTACATAGTTTGCACTCGAAACTAGACACTATACTCGCAAAACACTAATATACACAAAATATCTGTAGAATCAATCGGTGTATAAATATTGTTGAGTTCTAAATAAAAAATAAAAGCGTAGATAATAGAACCTTCGTTCACGTCTTCATTGCCATTATTTTATTTCATCACTTAGTGTTGCCTCATAAAAATACTAGAAGGTTGTTGGGAATAATCGAAGATTTTAGGATCATTAAAACTTAAAACAAGTGCGTAGATCGTTGGTGTAATACTATTTGTCAAAATTAATCAGTTTATATAGATAACATGACAAAAGTTACCATGTTTATGTTTTTAATGAACTTCATTTCAGTTTCTTTGCCATTTTTCAGAAAACTCCACGTGCATTAATCTTTCTTCTAATGCGCCTGTTTTTTGCAAAGTTATTGTTAATCATTTTTATGTATGTACATATTTAGGTACAATTTTAACAATTATTTGGGGCTGAAAGCGAAGATAGGAAATGCGTTTTTAAATGGTTATGGTGAAATGATGTAGATTTAATAATTGATAAATATACGCCATATTCGTTTATTTTTGTATGTTGTATGGAAATATTTTGAATTTAAAAACGAACGTTCGTAATGTCTTCCTATAATATTCTGGGTCATTTTCTAGGTTTCCAAAAAGCCTACTTTACTAAGTTAACATCTGTAAGAACCAGTAAGACATGATTTAATGAAAAAAAATTGCGTTAAAAAGCGTTTTAAGAAGTGTCTCCTTTAAAATTGTATGATTGTAAATTACTTCGAATGCTAATATTCCTTACATAACACTAATCTTCACTTTTAAAAGCACATTTTTTATAACCTTCCTTTCCAAAAGCCCGCGTAATTTAGGAACAAATTCCTTATGGTGTGAATGGTTAAACGCACATGAAGTGATAAATAGGTGAATATTTATTAAATCTTGTCTTATAGATTCCAATGAACTGAACTTTTGTCCCTAGTTTTTGAGACGCTATAATCTGTTCCATTTCTGGTTCGTTTTTGTGATACTGCTTTGAGAGGTTTTATTTGAATCTATAATATATAAATAAAGTTTTTGTGTCATTTTCTCTCTTACTACTGATTACAATAGAATTGGAACTTTCTTAATTGCCTGATATCCCGTTAATCTTGGCCCTTCGAGACTGTTCCATCATTCTCAGCAGTGTCGAGCTCCACCTCGACCAACTTTAAATCCTTAAAGATGAAATCTTTTAACTTCAGTGTTAGCTTTGTTAAAATTGTTAATACACTACATACTGGCATACGCTATAACAATGTCTTATAAAAGTAGGTCTTTGATAAAGTTATACGATGACGTTTTTAATTTTAAACTTTTATAGGTCATTTCACTAATAGTTAAATGTGAATTAATATATTCCCAATCACCGGTTGAGGGCCAAGTAGAATTCATTACGGTTAGCAGTGTCTTTTTTGGCTACCTTCCTGTTCAGGCTGTTGTTTCAAAGGAGAGTTATCTATCACATTTACGACACATACTTCAATTATGTTGTGACAGCAACAACGAACATGCTCAAAGCTATTCAATGTTCATTTTAATTCGACTCAACTGGGAAAGTCGTTTGACCTTATTACAAAAAGTAGTTTAAACTTAGTCTTAGGCTTAAACTAGTATCTGCTTTATAAAAATTCTGCGGAAATATGCCAACTAAAGTGTAAAGTATAGAGTTTGGCACTGACACTGTGATACTGCACTGTGGCACTGCGGCTAAGGGACACTAGTTAGAAAGGCTCTTCTTAAACTCAAATTTCATAGTTAACTATGAAGTACCCCGAGACTATCGATAAACTTCTTTTTGTAATACGACGGATTTGGTTTAGATAGGCGATTGTATAATGCTAGTCAAATGTTTTTTGTATAATATTAGGTTTCATATCGTGCACGTGTTATAGTTTTTTTTAACCTAGTTATTTAGGCGTTGTGTTAAAAGTAGCATTAATTTGTTAATATCGCCGACAAACTAAACAAGTTTAGCTTTAAAATTATTCAGCAAAATATGACAGCGTATATTTTAATAAAAATATATGGTTTTCGATGTATGTACATAGCTATATTCACGACCATGATTGATCCAGAATTTTCTCTCGATTAACGCTTAGATAGCACCCGTTATATGATAAGTGTATTTTTTCTATTGAGAACTTTTTTTTATTTAAAAACTCACACCAACAAAGAGAGATAGACGGAGCGCCTGCGTCCATTTCATGTGATACCGAAACTATGCTCAACTTCTTGACACGCACTCACGCACACACGCACACATCTTTCATCTTTCTTTCTATATCAGCCTGTAAAGAGTTCACTGCTGAACGCACACATGTTCACCTAAAACCATGTTATTGGTTTCAATTATTTTATATACATAATGTGTACGTAACTGCATGATCGTACAATAAGTTGAACATGGTTTTGGCTTAGTTTTGCATCACTGAAATGTCCGCAGGTCTCCGTTTTTCTCTCCTTGTTAGTCTGAGTTGACAACGCTGTTTTGTGTTATGCAACTACGCATATTTTCGTTTCATTTCGAGATAATAATATTTTTGTAATATATTTTTTTAAATAATTTTGCAATACAATGTAATCTATACGGCAATCCTAGTCGACCTGACTCATCACATATCACCTTAATACTCTGTCATTAAGTAAAGTTATATTTACGTGAAAAAGTATATGAATGAATGTGTTACTGATATTGGAACCTCCAAGGTGGTAATTAAATAAGGGTTGCTGAAATAATTAGTTATCTGTAATATATTTAAAAAATTTACAAGCCTTTATATAAACTTCACCGCGCGTGGTCTCCACGGACCGATAGTCTCTACAGCAAATGACACAAATATGTAGTCATCTCTCAGAGACTCATATTTGCGCCACTTAGTTCAGCTGCCTCTGATGCCGCCCCGGCTCTAAACGGGCTACCCCTGTGATCCTTTACCGTGTTTATATCCCGTATTAACAAAGCTTAGCAGATTACAGTTGAACTGGTCGTTTTACTATTTATGTTATGCTTGTTTATATTTCACTGGTACGATACAAAAAGTAAACTTACCTAAGCGAAAAAATGTTCTCGCCCCAATTTACCAAGTAAGTTTAAGTCGTTTACCCAAACTCACTTCTATTTGAAAACGCTTTTAAAGAAATTATTCGACACACACATAGTTCAACAAACGCATCCCTCTTATATCACCAATCACCTTGGAGGATAATTCTTGCTGTTTTTAAGTTATTTTAAATACTCGATAATCATTCGAATAATTTTTATTCATTCGTACACTATTTATTTATTTGTTGTATTTCTAATATTACAATAGTTTATGTATATCGAGGATTCTGTTTAATATCTATTTATTTTCAACCATAATTTTCTTGTTTGCAAATTAATAATTTGTAAAAAGCCTTTAGTAATATGAAAGTGGGGAAATGATCATATATTTTAAATTAACAAAAGAAATATTGTAATTTTGTACTTGGTGAAATTATTAGATATAGCGCGGGATATGTCGCGTCTGGTCTTGTCTATGGTCGGCACAAATTACATTTGAATATTTCACGTCTGACTCTGTTTATTGTTCAATCGTTTTGTTATTGGTCTTATAAATTTATATGAAAACGTGTATAATCAATGTGGGAGTCCTATGTTCAGACGTAGACTTTTATAGGTTATAAAAGATATAGTGTACAATTAAATACATTTTAAAATCAATTACATAAAATTGTATGGTTTCTTAACAAAGCGCTTATATTAGCTAACCTCAGAAAGATCTCATAGCCCGATAAATAACTTTATAATCAACTCTATAAACGAAGTATTAACTATGAAGATCTGGTACTTCGATTAGCTTACCAAGCATGGCAATTATAGCACATGAAGGTCATATCCATGTGGTATGTATGCTAGGGCTGTTTTTTGTCACTAATTAATTGTTCTATAAATTTGTACTGTTCTGTAAATTTTTATCGTGTAACGTGAAATATTCAAATTATTCTCTTCATTCTTAAATGCAGAATTTGTGCACGTACCGACCAAAGTATCTATTCATGTGTTCGTAAAGTCATCTGTAATATAATAACTACATAATTCTTATTTTTCATTTGGTCTGCGAGCAAAAATGTTTGTGAATGTGTATTTATGCATGAGAAAAAATTCATAAGTCTACTGTTATATTGAAGAGAAAGGGAAGCTTTTTAAAAGATTTGTTCGCGAGACCAATAACACAAGTGAATGCTGTAAATTGTACTAAGAAATCCTACGCTATGCTATAACCTGTACTGTAACTGCTTAAGAAACTTATTGGTTAACATTGAAAAGATAATGAAATAAAAATTAAAAAAAAAACGTCTTTTTTTTTCGAGTGTGTCCCAAATAAATGAGCAAAGCGATAGCTTGACTCTTAATGCTTCGCTAGCTAAGCTAGGTAAAATAGCCATACTAAGTCGAACTAACTTAGTTGTGTAGGTCGATCCAAAACTACGCGAACTAAGCTAAGCGCCTCTCACCTTCTTACCATACACCTCTGGCGCCAATAATAATAATCTATACATATAATAAAACTGTAAATAGCAGATGTCTGTACATTTTATATTTTTGTAATAAAAGTGATTGAGGGGTACTAAAAATAAGTAATTAAATACATTTCTACCATTTTTAGAATTTTCTGTCTGTCTGTCTGTCTGTCTGTTTGTTTGTTAACGTATCACGTATAAAGTACTAATTTATATCATAAGAATTGTTAAGAAAATTATAAAGTGTATCTTCGGGTTACATTTAGTCTTTATTTCATTAAAATCAGTTCATTACATCAAAAGTTATGATAAATATTCTGAAGTATGGGTAGGGAAGTAGGTACAAATTTGCTCAACGGTGGCTTTGTTTGAGTCATCAAGTGCATTTTAAACTAATATCATATCATAAATCATAGTTAAATTATGTAAAATAGTGATATAATTATGTATATCTAAAACGCAGTAAACAAAAGTATTAAAGAACGTATTAAATATATTATACAAAAATATATTAACCTTATTAACTAAATCTGAAGCACAATAGTTAACCCATTTCTTCGATAGATGGTGGTGTTGTGAAAATGTAATGTGGTTTTTTCCTGTAGATGAGTTTTCATATTTACTGCTAATCTTTATTATATTACTCGCTGCCCTACTGCGTGTTGACAAACTCAATTTATTCTTTACCGCCGAGTACTCTATGTGGTAAATCAAATTTTAAAAGAGCTATTAACAATTGCGTTGGTTTTGGCGAGAGTCAAACTTTATTTTTTGCTTACTGTGCAGGCACTGATTTATAAGTTCTCTTGCGTTTTATATAATGTATCAATCGCGTCAATTAATCTCTTATTTTTAGAATTGATGTTAGCAGCGCCATCTCTCTTTAAATATATACATATAATAAAAATGATGATAACATGTTGTGTCTCTTTCTGTACATTGTATACATATTTTGGTGGCTAAAATCATTATGATGAACTGAAAATAATTAAATAAGAAAATTTTATAATTTTTAGAATTGTCTGTCTGTCTATTTGTCTGTTATTATATGAACGCATCACGTCTAAAGTAAACATATTTTATTTTCAAAGAAATCGTTAAGAAAATCATAAAGCGTATCTTCGAGTTACATTTAATCTTTGTTTTATTAAAATTGGTTAATTCTATCGAAAGTAATGATTATTAATTTGAAATGTAGGTTCGAATTTGTTCAATGGCGCCATAAAATCTCAGAAATAGTAATAAAAAGATTTGTGTGTAAAAAAAACGTTCCATAATAATTAATTATACTTAAAACACAAAAAGAGATTTAAAAAGGATGTTTTCTCACACAAAGGACGTAATAGATGGAGTTGTACAAATTACAAACTTTTCTGAATTGCTATGTTGAGATTTTTCGCCGATGAATCGTATTGAGACTTAGGTACTGAAGAAATTTGTATCCATCGAAGCCATACAACGGAACCCGGCCAAAAATAAAAATTTTACAACGAAATGTCGTGATATTGTATTTATAATAATACGCAAAATCAGTACTGTCATTTTAGCGCTTTTTTGGAATGTATAGCGCGCATTTCGAAATTTTAGCACCTAGCTTAATCCAGCGCTTTTTGGTGTGTTTAGCACACATTTCAATATTTTAGCGACTAGCGGGTTATTAACTCTTTTATAGCAGCACTGTTAGTCCACATTACCGGTAATAATAATAATGACCTTTATTATTTTTTCCCACAAATAGTACATTGCAGTTCATCTTTTTCAAACATATTTTTTCCACAAAACAAAGAGCATGGGAGACGAGTCCAAACTAGGATACCCTGTGCTATGGATCTCCTGGCTTCCCCTTTAGGATGATCAACTTGATTTTTTACCGACGACTATAAGCGGGGAAATTCCCTTTATTAAAGTTTTCGTTCATGGTTTTGGCGACGCATTTATTTTGCTTTATTCAGTTTCAGTCAGTTGCTTAGAGCACAGCTAAGTTAAAAGTTACTTAGAAGTTATAACACAAAGAAACTGTGTAGCAACCGCAATCAGATGCTGACATCTTAAACTAAGTTGCGAAATACATTGCACATTAAAACAATTAATGACATTTTAATTGTTCGTACAGTACTAACTACTGTTGACAGCAATTGCCATAATTATAAGTCGATGTCCTGCGAAGTATTGATACATCAAAAAAATATTACCAGAAAAAAACTTAATGTTGTTTTCTTTATTATGATTATATAAAAAACACAAACTTTGTTTGTAGTTAATTTAGCGCGAAATCTAGGGCTTTTTTAAAGCGCTGTTTTCATGAAATCTAGCGCTTTTTGTGTTGTCCTAGAGCTGAATGAGTTTTTTTTTATCTGGCACCACTGCCCAAAAACCCTCTATTAAGAAGTAACTTTCCTTTCAGTTTTAAGCGCGTTCAGTTCCCAGTTACAGTGAGCGTGTGTTATGCGATGACCGTAAATAAAGCGCAAGGTCAAACTTTACGCGTTGTAGGAGTGTACTGACTGTTTTGCACATGGCCAACTCTATGTTGCTTTTTCCCGCGTTAGTAGCCCCCGTAACCTTTTTGTGTACATCCCGACTAAGCCTACTACTAACGTCGTTTACACAGAAGCTCTATCATAAACGACTTAGAACTTTGATGATAATGATTTATTTAGTTACCACTTATTGATACAGTAATCAAATAAATCGTTTAATATTCTCCTACCTAAACGACAAATTTTTTATGTAAAACCTGTATACGCGAGCTACGCCGCGGGCACAGCTAGTAAAATAATATATAAATAAGAATAAAGAATAATAATAAACTATGTGAAAACAGTGAACTATATTATAGTTCACTGTTTTCACGTTTAGTTCGCGGTGGACGTTCGGCTTTACAAGCAATAATGTTATAAAAATTATATTCTCATTAATTTGTTTCCGTCGTTTATTTTTTCTTTCATATCGTCTATGCGACTATGGAAAATTTAATATTTACGTTTTATTCGAATATGAACCGTCGTGCCACAAATGCTGTAATGTTATGCAGTATCCACCAAGTGAAATGGACGTTTGTAACAGACATGGGGCTTCAGCAGCCAATAAACAATGAGTAGCATGAAAACACCGAAAACAGTGCTTTTCGGTTTTTTCTTGTATCTGCATTATGCGTTTGGCTATGTCTATGTAGGTATCGCTGTAGCTATGACCGTGTAGTGGCGGTGTAAGAATACCCACTATCCTTAATCATCCCGTGTGTGTCGTAAAAGTCAACAGAGGAAAATTGAAACAGGAGAACTCAAAATTATAAAAAACTGCGGTTGCCAACCCGTCTGCCAAGCGTGGCAACTATGGCAATTATCCCCCATATCAGAATCTATGGGAAAGGCCTATTCAGCAGTGGACTGGTAGGCTGTTGGGATGACGGCGACGCAGTGCCAGAAGTTCAAAATATAAAACAAAGTAATACAAAATGTTGGTGCAGAAGATTCATTTCTCGATGCTCTGGCCTTTAGAACATCATGCAGTTGCTGCGTGGCACCAACACCTCCACTTATAATATGTTGTATCTATTTGTAATCATTTTAAACATAGGTGAAACACAAAAAACATCACAAGGTTTAAAGTAAAAAACACAAATTATGATTTTCAAATATATTTCAGTAATCAAAATATAATAATAGGCTTACACATTAATAGTTACAAATCGTATCTCATGGCGTGACCAATTGTTCCACGAAAAAAGAAAGAAGCAAAATTATCCAAAACCCCTTAGATTTCTTAAATGCTATACAAATGCTTAATATGAAGCCCGAAAGAAAATTGATATCACAAAATTTAAACATCCATAGTAAATAGCTGAAAATAAAAAAGAAAATATTTACATGCCCATAAATTACAATTTCCATAGAGTATCATAGTTTTTTTACATAAATTGTCAGTGCACTTTATTCACATTGTGAAACTTCGCTTATTTATTATAAAAAGGGAAACAAAAGCGGCCTTAACAGCTACATCGTGAAAATACTCGTCCCAAACTTCAAGTGCAAACAACATTTTTGTGTGGTGAAATTAAAAAAAAGAAACAAAAGTATATTTTTAATATATTCTTCATTCAATTATTTATCTATCGCTATTTATTATCTTCGGTTATTTTTTTTTAAATTAATACTTTCGTCCTGTATTTTTTTATTAAAAACACGTTATACTTATAAAATATGATTGTATATAAATTATTAGCTAGTTATATTTACAATAGTCTTTTTGGGCTACAATTTTAAACTTTTTCTTTTAAATAATAGGTTCACTGTAGGCAAGCATTGACATCTCAATCTCAATTCACAAATACTTATAAACTATATTTTCAATAAATTGATTGCTGTCTGAGTATCACAAAATCAAATTAGGAAAATTAAAGTGTGTCGTGTCAGGAACTTGAGTCTAGTGACTATGTACATGATTTATTTTAATCTTATTAGGTAAGGTTTATATCACAAATAAAATTTCAAACTATTTTTTTTCGTATGAGCAATTATACTTTTAAACCTACTATTGGTCAAGATTTTACGAACGATAGCGTTATGACTTTAAAGCGAGAGAAGGATGAAAAGAAAGTAATGCACTACACAAAAACTATTTAAATAATAGCAGACAATTTTAGATGAACGTTATCACATTTCAGCTTTAGAAATCCCTTTAAGACATTAGCATGGTAAGCGAAAACGTAATTTGAAATTAGTCTTTTATCTATTTCAAATCACGTTTCGAGTGCACGTATCGATTTAAAATGTTATAGAAATCAAAAGAACATGGACGTATTCAAAAAGAAAAATGCTGAGCATAATATTTTTTTTCTACATTTATGTCTATCTATTTAATTTAGACTTAATTTTTAAACTGTATAATATTTAGCATACAGTACAAATGTATACCTGAAAGCGTTTTTTTCTATAAATAATATCATGTGTATTTATAGATATATTGTACAGGTAGACGTAGTCGCAGAAACTAGTTGAAACAATCGTCTCTGTTTTGTTTACTTTTCTCGAATCCTGTCATAGACTACGCCGGATAGTGTCTATGAAAGAAAATTCAATACAATTAAAATTACATAAGTAACATTTTTAAAAATCGAATATTTTTCTCCTTCACCAACTTTATACCATCTTTTTATATTTACAATATGATCACGTTGCTTCGTTTCTCTTTAACATTGTTTAGTTCCCGACTAACCTAAAAATAATATTACGTATAGTTAAATTAGTGTAACGTAATCTCCTTTGTGGTACGCGATGGTTATGGGTTGTTAATTTTATTTTACAAATCATTTCGTAAATGTCCCACAAAAGATAAGTACATTACTAAAACTCATACTAAGTAGGTAGGTAATAAATATTAAAATTACTTACATTCGTAATCTAAAACATGTAAAGAAAAGCTAAAAGCTGCCAACATCACAAACAAAAAACGAAAGCATCATTCAATGATGGCCGCGACGGGTTTTTGAATAATCACTGGATGAATAAAAAAAAATTAAAAAAAAAACACGAAAATGTACTAATGCCGTATCACAATGAAAGCAACACTAATGTTTTAATTAAATATGCTTATACATTTGCGTAGACTTTATCAGTGTTTTACGTGCTAATAATATATCTAAAACAAATTACACAATTAATAAAAGCAACAAAAGAACTGGTTTACCATATATGGTAATTCTATATTATATGGCAATTCTTTAACAATCAATGAATATATCAGTTAAACAAGACATAATTAATATTATATTCGTTTGTCAGAATATAATAGCATCAGTGTTACCAAGTACAAAGAGCAAAGTTTTTAAAAGGAACAAAAAAGCTACCAATGGATTACTTACTGCTCATAAAGAAAAACATAAGACGGAAATTATTAACCACACTTACGATTTACTGTGCACTGTATGATGAACCAATGTGTAATAGATTCATATAAAATTTATTAGAATGAATGACATTTAGTTTTTTTTTAAAAGAACTGTTAATTTTGTATTCCGGTATAACAACTGCCTGAGTTATGTGCGTATTGTGCGTGAGAGATTCCATTACTTTGTCTCTTTCCGTGGATGTTGTAAGTAACGACTAAGGCAACAGTCACGAAGATCTTAAGATTGTTTGATCTCCAAGATGGCGATACAACCATTGTTTTTTATTACACCGAAACGAGCTAAAACGGCAAACGCTTTGCAAATGGAAATCGACTTCGTTGTAGTCATATTACATATACTTAGTAACACTTGCTATTTTTCATAAAAACACTTAAAACTTTGTAAAGTATTACAAAGATTCGTTAAAAGTAATGTTAACAAAAAAAAAAACTATCATAATAGAATGCGTGCGAATGTCTGTCATTTCTACGTCATAAAGTGTGCCGTTTTTGCGGAAGCAAATACATTACCAAATTCAGCCTGCTTTAGTAATTTATTTTAGTTATTCCGTTGGTACAAAGTATTTTCTTCTTCAATAAACTAATGGATACGAAATGTTGACATTTCGAATGTTTAAAGTTCAGAAACGGAAATCACAGCATACGCAGCGTGCGTCAATATCGATTATCGACCAACTTTTATGAAAATGTATTTAAGTCAAATAAATCGATCGATTAAACGACTAAAATAGACGTGTCCGTAAGATTTATCAAAACTAGGAAATCAATTACTGAACATACGCCGCAAATCAAACGGTGACTTAAGAAAATGTTGCGAAGGGCAAGGTTGCAGGATTAAGCACGGGGCGTGGTCGCGGCGCCTCCTAGCGTGCGGCGACGTATCATCTGCGGGCGAGCGCGGGGGAGGGGCGCGGCGGCGGGCGGAGGCCGAGGGGCAGGGCGAGGGGCAGGGCCAGGGGCAGCGCCAGGGGCAGGGGCAGCGGGGCCAGCAGCGCGGCCGCCAGCAGCAGCAGCAGCGCGCCGGCGGGCGCGAGCCTCTGCGCCACGCTGTTGTACTTACTGCTCTGCTCGCATGTACCTAGAAAAGAAACACAATTTTCAAATATCAGTTCTATTACAATATGGTGCCGGCTTAAAATAATCCATTTCAATCCATGGATGTTTAAAGAGGCGTCTATCGGAAATTTCAGAAAGTACGCATGGTTTCTAATAGGTGGTAATAATAATCATCCCTTTTACGCACAGTCAGATTCATAAGTGGCAAATTGTAAGCGTAAGTTAATTACCCATATAGTGGCGGGGTAAGAATAACTACCCCATATCGTTCCATTGGTATCGTAAGAGGCAATAAAGGGTAATAACACCAAGAGATGGGGATAGACCTTGCTGTCTATCTAATGACAATAACAACTAAAAAATTAAATGCAGTTCCCAACAATATCTCTAGTTTGGCAACTAAGACTGTCATGGACGGCGAGAGGAACCACCCCCGCAGGCCCCGCACGCCTTGCACGCCCCGCACGCCCTGCACACCGCAACACAATCACGATGCAAGCGACCAATCAGCGCGCAGTGAGCCCGCGTGGTGACCAGTTAAGGCGAGCATCTGGCCGCCAAATCCATTCGATTCACTCGCTTCAAAAAAGACGAAAGCAAGAAAAGTCCATCTACTGCAAATAGTGCTCCCTACAGTATAGTTTAAAGTTAATTAGTGTTAATAATATTGTACTACCGCAATAATTGTAACTAGTGAATAAAATGTTTCTTAAATCGTCCCATCTTTCTTTAATTGAACAGTCACAACATACGGTCCACAGTTAATCTCTCAGTCCATCAGTTAAATCAATTAGTTTCATAGGCCACTTGCTCTCCCCGTTCTTTACAATGACAATTATCCCCCTAGAAGATAATCTTTACTCATTTCTGAGAGGTTTGCTAATTTACCAAATACTAGAATAGAACAGAATAACGTTAAATTCAGTACATATACGAGTGCATACATCTATACATCTATAGAAATGAATAAAATTGAAGTGTCTGTTTGTAATGTTAAAATAACAGCTTTTTACTAATTGCATATGAAAGTATATACGGTACTAATAATAAAAAGACAATTTTCAACATTTTTGTCTGTCTGTCTGTCTATCTGTCTGTCTGTCTGTTTGTTCCGGCTAATCTCCGAAACGGCTGGACAGATTTTGACGGGACTTTCACTGGCAGATAGCTGATGTTATAAGGAGTAACTTAGGATACTTTTATTTTAGAAAAAGAATTAGGGTTCCGCGCAAAAATTAAACCCATGAAATCCAATCGTAATAAATTACGCGCGGGCGAAGTCGCGGCGGACAGCTAGTTATGAATAATTCTTATTGAAAGTAACTTTTTACTTTTTTTACCACTGCTTCGGAAAAAATATTTCTCAGCTCTAATTAATAAATATTTTTTGAGCACGGAAGCCACCATGTCATTCTGCCATGCCAATGCCACCGCGCATTGTGGCAGCGCGGCAGATTTCTCAGGAATGAGAGTATAACGATTAGCAAATAAGTAGTCTAGTAAAACATAATATTATAGAGCTGTTACTTAATGTTCAGAATAGAACGAGAGAAATAAAATTATTTAACTGAGGTGCGTTATTTTTAATAAGTACAAATTATAATATAATACAAGTATTTGAATTTAATCGGAAGTATAGACTATATCAGGCATCTGTCACTCTTGCTAGCTGCGTGAAATAATCACATACAATCGCGCGGGACCTCAGACTACATACGCAGTCGGGGCTAGCACTTTCTAGACGAGTGAATTATACGAGTAAGTTACTGTTTATGGAAACATTTTTTTGTAAACACTTGTTAAAATAGTTATTGTTTAGTGTTTAGTGTATTTATTTAATTGTAGGATAAAATAGGTAGTTGAAAAGTTTTAAAGTAATTTAAAAAATATATGTGTATATTACCTATGCATTTGATAAATTATAATGGCAAAACATTGTTTCTACTATAATTATTCCGTAGGTGGATGCTTAATGAGCAAACAAAAGGATTCAGATTAATCATTTTTTACGTTACCGAAGTTCATTTCATATATATTTTTTTTTATAAGATACTTAAAATTATTAAATACTGATGTAAGTAGTAGGTAGGTAGATGTTGTCAACCACGAAGTTGTATGGAATGTTTTTTTTTATAGGATCGGGTGACAAACGAGCACACAGTCCACCTGATGGTAAGTGGTTACTGTGACCCATAGACATCTACATCTATCCTCAATAAAGACTCAAGATGCAGATGCGTTGTCACCCGTGAGGACTAAGATGGAATGCTTCTTTGCCAGTAAAAAGGGTCTCCGGTTCTCTACACTCACCATACCAAACACAGCAGCGTTAAGCTGCTATTTTACGCTGGTTTTCTGTGAGAGCGTGGTCCTTCCCCGTTCGAGCCGACCCATTCGTGCTACAACCATAATATAGCTGCAGCATGGCTCTACCACGTAGAAATGTGTGTGTTCTACCACGTAGAATGTGTACAAATCTATACATAAACTACCCAGGTACTTTTGTAGTATAAAAGAATTAAGTAAAATTTAACTACAAAAGTAGGTATCTAAGTATCTAATTAAGGAACTTAGTTGAAATTTACTTGAGTATCGAAGTACCTACTTACACCTATACTACTAGTACCTATACTTGGCTTTTGTAATTAAAATATTTTAAGTAATAATAACACAAAATACTGACATTAAAACTGTTTACAAGTTTTTAACTAAGTAGAATACGATCATATTTCTGTAAGGATCGTATTACAGGTTTATTTGTTGTTTACACTATCTACCTATACCTATTTCTTACGAGCCAAGCATCGCGATTCGTGATGAATGGCCTTGCAAGTTGCATGCGTTGGACGTCACTCACATAGTAGCGTAAACATTTTCAACCGATCATAGTCAGAATAAGTACCTTACCTAAGTAAGTTACTTACCATTTCGCAATGTATTTTTTTACTCTTTATTGAAAGTCCTAAGTAACCACGTAAAGCCCGCCGTGAAGTATAAAGGGGAAAAGATGCAAAGTACGAAAATACACACTCGCGCGCAGTGATAAAGTTTTATTTAGCTTGCGTGCGCGATTTATCTAATTAATAATAATTAGGTAGGCTATTAAAACGTTGTCAAGCAGTCAACATCAACGGAGTGTAACTTCTGTACGGAGTAGTATTATTTATTCTGTGACTATATACAATTATTACAAGTTTCCATGATTTTGTTTAAATATTATGTGTATGGTATCGTGAGTTTTGTTGCGATGTGTGTTCGTGAAATTTGGCGGACGAAATTAATCCGAACAATTTCTCAGAGCATTCCCCGTGGCAGATGCGATAGAAAAAATACAAAGGAATGCAACATTCCTTCGCAGCACCAGTGAATCGAGTCGATCAGAAAGAACTTAGTAGTCGACGATTCGAGCCACTCTGCGCTAGATGCGGTCAAATGGTAGGAAATGGCACTGGGGTGCTCCGGTCAAGAGATGAGAATAGTTTTCCATGTGAGGCCGAACTTGCGCCTTGGAAAGTTGCAAGCGGTGTGCCGGCATGAAACACTGTCCTGCTCTGCTGAGCAAATCAAGCTTTTCGGAGGCCAATTTAGCCTTCTCTTCCAAGTGACGACGAAACTACACGTCACTCGATATGTCGACGCCGAGGATTCCGATGCTAGCTGAGGCAGCAAGGGGAGTGCCCTTAAATTGAAGAGAGGGCAGCAGGTTCTTTTTAGCGGTAAACGTGCAAACCTGTATTTGTAACTTCTGAGGGTTAAACAGGACTAGATTTAGTCGAATTTGTCGGATTGGGAAGTCCGAGACTTTGTTTAACACCGACTCGACTTCGGACACAAGTTTGTTTCGGTACTCGATGACGTAATCCTGAGAAATATTGGCACGGCCGGTGTAAAAAGCATCACTTGTGATATCGTCCGCATAGCAATGAATGCTCCTGGTTATCATTTATATGCAGAAGGAACGGCGTAGGTGATAACACACAGCCTTGTGGAACACCAGCATTGATAGGTTTGTAATCGGAGCATGCACCGTCTACTACGACCTTGATGCTCAGTTCAGCAAGGAAACTGGTGATCCAATTGCACAATTTCTCGGGAAGCCCATAGGAAGAAAGCTTCGAAAAAAGTGCTTTGTGTCAAACCCAGTCGAAGGCCTTCGCTATGTCCATACTAATGGCCAATGCCTCCCCATTTGACTCCATCTGTGAGTCAGGTAGACCAAAAGATCACCAGTTGATCGACCGCGACGAAAACCTTATTGGCGGTCACTACTCAGCTGGTGATCCTGGCACCCCATGAGCTGGCAGTTTATAATGGATTCTATTAGTTTGGAGATTAAGGTCTTGTACACTATATGGATTATGCTTATATAATAATATGTAGGAGTTAATTTTAGCTGTCTTTGAACTCCATCTGTTTTAGCAGCACAGACACTTTATTTTCTGGTAACATTGCTTTTCTCGTTCTCTCATTCATTCCTTTTATTCATTCACTCATTTCAATCTCTAATCTGTCGCATGTAATGTGATTATGTGGTAAGACATGTGAATGATCCTGAAAGTTATAATGTAACAACTTATTGTGCTATGTCTACGAAATAAATTTAATTAATTAATTAAATAAATAAATGCCAAACATTGGTTTAAAGATACTAAGTGCATGATATGAGTTTAACAAACTTAAAAAACACGCATTGATCATGAGCTGCGATGATCCTGATAATTATTTTATACTGGTGCTCCTGATCAGGATAAAGGCTAAAGTTATTTAATTATTGTATTGACATCGGTTCTTGATACGAGTGTAAATTTTTAAATCGATCGTCCGTCTACAAGTTGGGGAAATGACATTAAAAGATTTCGTTACATAGATAGATAGATACATACGAAGCTAACATATGCGTATTGAAAAGGGGGAGATAGTATACCGTTAGCTGTGAGGTTGTAGGCCTTGTCGCCGGCGCGGCCCGGCGTCAGGCGCCGCTCGCACGAGTGCGCTACATAGATAGCATACCGTTAGCTGTGAGGTTGTAGGCCTTGTCGCCGGCGCGGCCCGGCGTCAGGCGCCGCTCGCACGAGTGCGCTACATAGATAGCATACCGTTAGCTGTGAGGTTGTAGGCCTTGTCGCCGGCGCGGCCCGGCGTCAGGCGCCGCTCGCACGAGTGCGCTACATAGATAGCATACCGTTAGCTGTGAGGTTGTAGGCCTTGTCGCCGGCGCGGCCCGGCGTCAGGCGCCGCTCGCACGAGTGCGCTACATAGATAGCATACCGTTAGCTGTGAGGTTGTAGGCCTTGTCGCCGGCGCGGCCCGGCGTCAGGCGCCGCTCGCACGAGTGCGCTACATAGATAGCATACCGTTAGCTGTGAGGTTGTAGGCCTTGTCGCCGGCGCGGCCCGGCGTCAGGCGCCGCTCGCACGAGTGCGCTACATAGATAGCATACCGTTAGCTGTGAGGTTGTAGGCCTTGTCGCCGGCGCGGCCCGGCGTCAGGCGCCGCTCGCACGAGTGCGCTACATAGATAGCATACCGTTAGCTGTGAGGTTGTAGGCCTTGTCGCCGGCGCGGCCCGGCGTCAGGCGCCGCTCGCACGAGTGCGCTACATAGATAGCATACCGTTAGCTGTGAGGTTGTAGGCCTTGTCGCCGGCGCGGCCCGGCGTCAGGCGCCGCTCGCACGAGTGCGCTACATAGATAGCATACCGTTAGCTGTGAGGTTGTAGGCCTTGTCGCCGGCGCGGCCCGGCGTCAGGCGCCGCTCGCACGAGTGCGCTACATAGATAGCATACCGTTAGCTGTGAGGTTGTAGGCCTTGTCGCCGGCGCGGCCCGGCGTCAGGCGCCGCTCGCACGAGTGCGCTACATAGATAGCATACCGTTAGCTGTGAGGTTGTAGGCCTTGTCGCCGGCGCGGCCCGGCGTCAGGCGCCGCTCGCACGAGTGCGCTACATAGATAGCATACCGTTAGCTGTGAGGTTGTAGGCCTTGTCGCCGGCGCGGCCCGGCGTCAGGCGCCGCTCGCACGAGTGCGCTACATAGATAGCATACCGTTAGCTGTGAGGTTGTAGGCCTTGTCGCCGGCGCGGCCCGGCGTCAGGCGCCGCTCGCACGAGTGCGCTACATAGATAGCATACCGTTAGCTGTGAGGTTGTAGGCCTTGTCGCCGGCGCGGCCCGGCGTCAGGCGCCGCTCGCACGAGTGCGCTACATAGATAGCATACCGTTAGCTGTGAGGTTGTAGGCCTTGTCGCCGGCGCGGCCCGGCGTCAGGCGCCGCTCGCACGAGTGCGCTACATAGATAGCATACCGTTAGCTGTGAGGTTGTAGGCCTTGTCGCCGGCGCGGCCCGGCGTCAGGCGCCGCTCGCACGAGTGCGCTACATAGATAGCATACCGTTAGCTGTGAGGTTGTAGGCCTTGTCGCCGGCGCGGCCCGGCGTCAGGCGCCGCTCGCACGAGTGCGCTACATAGATAGCATACCGTTAGCTGTGAGGTTGTAGGCCTTGTCGCCGGCGCGGCCCGGCGTCAGGCGCCGCTCGCACGAGTGCGCTACATAGATAGCATACCGTTAGCTGTGAGGTTGTAGGCCTTGTCGCCGGCGCGGCCCGGCGTCAGGCGCCGCTCGCACGAGTGCGCTACATAGATAGCATACCGTTAGCTGTGAGGTTGTAGGCCTTGTCGCCGGCGCGGCCCGGCGTCAGGCGCCGCTCGCACGAGTGCGCCACCGCGCTCAGCGCCAGCGTGCCGCCGCCGCCGCCGCTCTCTGCAACTCACACGTCCCCAATCATTATTTGTTCACTTGAAAGTTCTTTAGGCGAAAGTTCACACTTTTTTATTAAATAAGGATGACAAACGAACACACAGTTCACCTGATGGTAAGTAAATTATATGGCCCGTAGACATCTACATCTATCTTCAGTTAAGAATCAAAATGTAGATGCGTTGTCACCCCTGAGGATTAAGATGGAACGCAACTATGGAAGGTGGTAAAGCCATGCTGCAGCTTTATTATGATTATAACACGAGTGGGTCGGCTCGAGGCATTCCTTCTTTAATGGAAGATGAACGTATATGTATAATATATATGGACCACAGTATCCACTTCCCTTGGAGTATGTGCTCGGTTATCACTCTTATAATACTTGTATAAAAAAACTTCCCCTTCTCAAACTAAAACAAACAGCTAAAAGGAAGAAGAGGGAGAATTGTTTCTACTCTCTCTCGCATACGTCTTATACAGTCTACGCGCGTACGTTGCGCACACTATATTAATATTATAAGGCCCTCCAGATTGAATTTTAGTCACGGCAGCCAGTCTCAACGGAGACAAGCCATTTGCGCAGAACAGGATTATAGTGCCAGATTATTTATCCGCAAGCACAGGTCCACTCTCCATTCTCTCACTCTCATAGTCTGACGGGACGGTAATTCGACACGCCAGGAGAGAGATCAAGCGCAGAACCAACGGCTTTCCGTGCGGTCCGAGACACGGAGGTGAAACACCGCCAACTTCTTAACTCCGAGCTGTTAGTGAATTTCTTGGTACTGTGTACGTAGCACACGGGACCAGTTCCACTTAATACTTACATATTATACTGTACATTGACTAAACACATTTAATTATATTAAAAGAAACAACGTAAGGTAGGGAAAAAGTTAAAAGGGCAATATATGGAAATGGATTATAGCAAAGGTGGAATGTATATGAAGCGTTTTAGAGGTTTAGAGGTTACTGACCGTTTCGCGGGTGCAGTGTGTACATGAAGCAGAAGGTGCGCGGGTGCGAAGAGGCACGCGATACGGGAGACGCTATCACGAATCCCACCGAGCCCTCCACCCAACCACCGTGACATGTGTACGCTGCAAATACAATATTATACACAACGATTAATAAGTCGATGGCAAAAAAACGCGTTTAACTGCACTGACAATTACATGTACGGTAAAGCATAAAAATTATCTCTTACTAAGTAAGTGTACTGAAGAACTGTATTAAGTAGAAGAACAGAGAAGATAATAGTAGAAGTTCTTAGTTTAATGACATTAAGGTAGTACTTAGCCTTAAACAACATAATGGTAGAAATATACAGTATGTATCAATTAGACTTGCAGATGCAGAATTAGTTGTAAGAACGACACCACATGTTACTTGATTCACATAAATTAAAAATGATCCTAATATTTAATGTACATATTGTTGCGCGCCACTATTAATGTCTTGTACATGGCAACACTAGTTACACTAGCGCCCCCTAGTGTCGCGTAAATGAAAGTATTGCGCGCCACTATTAATGTCTTGTACATGGCAATAACGCCCTCTAGTGTCGAGTAGCAGAACTAGGAGAGTCGAGATCCTTCCAGAAATTTCGGGACCGATATTGTTCGCGCCAAACGCTAATGTCAAGAATCGACGCCAGAGGGCACTCGGCTCGGTGCGAACTGGTTTAAAGTTCGTCCGAGCGTGGCAAGAGCGGGCGGGTCGCGAGCGAAAAGTCAGTCTTCTGCCAGCTGTGCTAATGTCTGCACGCTGTTAATTTTGTGCGGGAACCGCGGAATAGTTAGGGCGTCTAGTAAATATCCTGTCTAGGAATTACAACGCGCATTCCCTGTTTGGATAGCCTTTCCCGGGACTTATTGGGTCCGACTCAGAATCTGTATAAGTGCATTCGACAATATTAGCTAGTGCGGCCTCTGATATTCTAGAACTAACTGTTGCTACGGGAAACGGTCGTGACCTTTGATCCGTAAACTCCGTGTGAGTTTTGTGCGTTAACCTTATACCCAGCGATAGTTAGTGGCTTCTGTAAGTTAGTTAATCGTACGATAGAGTTAATTGACTGTCAACGTGACGAAAGAAGAAAGTGACTGTGGTCCGGCGCCGAAGCAGTCTGAAGCAGTGTGGCAGCATTTTGGAGCAGCCTGGAACTCGGCAGCAGCTGGTCGCCTATGCTTGACAAGGCCCCACACATTCACCCCTCACTGTACACTACTCTCCATCCACTATTACACACACTCACGGCCTGCCCAAGCCTTGGTGCGAAGTTAGCTTCGGATAATGGTAAGTACTATATGTCCTTCTAACGTCCTCCCATCTGGTTTATTGTAATTAGGAATTTCCACGTGGCCACATTGAGGCTCGACCTACGTCTGCTCGGGAAGTCTTCAGCTCATGGGCCCCTGAAGGTTTGACCTTTTTAAGGGAGCAGCCGTAGGCCGTAACAACTGGTAGCAGAGCGTGGTTCCGGGTTCGATTCCCCGGTCGATCCCGACCATAGTGTTTGATAAAAATTAAACAATTCTGGTGGCAGGGAGCGTTGGTTTGATTGGTTTAATTTGTATCTACAATCACGCCCGTCCGTAATACTTAAAAATATTTTTTGAAAGTAATAATAAAATTATTCCCCTTTGTTGTTTGTTGCTTGCCTTTTTTTGGTTAGTGGGTAGTTTGAAAAACCGCGCCCTAGGGAGTTTTTCTAGAGATATACGTCATGTAGGTAGATGGTTATTTTTACGTAATCGGTTAATTATCGTTGTCGGATAGTTGTAGTGGATTACTTATCGAAGGGTCGATTTCCGAGCTAGGCATTTTTTGTTGATCGACCGTGATGTGTATCTTCGTTTATACTGTAATTTGTATTTGAACTAAAGAGTAGTAATTGTATTTGCGCAATTTGAATTTAACTTCATTTGATCGCACTAGTATTTGTTATTTGTTAATTTGATTTGTGTCTTTTCTTTTGTGCTAACTTGTATTTGGTTGATACGTAGTAATTCGTATTTGCGTAATTGCTATTCAACGCGATTTGATAGGAGCTGCATTTATTAACTGTTAATTTTTTGTTGTATTTTTTATTTGTTATCTTTGTAATTTGTGCTCGAGCCGCGTCGTAATTAGTATTTAGTAGTGATGTCATCGCCCAAGCTACTGATCCATTGTCTGCGGACTGAGTTGCGCTGGGCCATAAGCACCCATGCTTTGATAGGTCGACCGGATAGGATCCATAACTTGATGAAGCGGTTCGATCAGGTGGATGTTCGAAGGGCCGCAGTGGAGGAGGCTTACGCTGAGCTCGAGGATTCGGATGTGGAGAAGGGAGTCCTGGACTCCTGCTTCGCGGACTATGAGCAGTTCTTGTGGCTCACGGACGAGTTGATCAAGGCTGAAGGCAGGTATGCCGAGGAGGCGCGTGAAGCTCGGATGAGTGACCTGTCCGAGTCCTCTCTGAAGCAGCTTCAGCCGGAGCTGTTGGGACGACTCCCAACTCTGGACCTGCCAAAGTTCTCCGGGGTCCTTTCCGAATGGCTGACCTTCGTTGGTCTTTTCGACAGCCTAGTGGATACCCGGAGTGACCTGACCCCGAGCAAAAAGATGGCGTACCTCCTGGCCTCACTGGAGGGGGAGGCCCTGGGCGTCGTCGGCCACTTGAGATTGTCGGACGACGCCTACCAGACTGCTCGGGACCTCCTAGCCAGAAGATACGCCAACGTCCGGCGAATTGCGGACGAACATGTTAAGCAGCTTCTAAGCCTCCCGCTGCTTAGTGACCGGGCCAGACTGCGTCCGGACCTGTTGGATCCAGTCTTGGTGGCTTGTAATACGTTGATGCGGCTGGAATTACCAGTGGGCGAATGGGCTTTTTTGTTGCTCCGCATCGTGCTGTCCCGTCTACCTCTCGACCTTCGAATCCATTTTGAGGAGAGGTACGGCGGGGACGAGGCCTCCTATAATCCGCCCTTCTATGACCTGCTGCGGTTTTTGGAGGAGCAGTGCCGCCAGATCGAGAACGCGGCGGACACCGTTGACGACTTACGAGACGTGCCCAGTGAGAGGCTGAACCCGCCAGGCAAGTCGTCGTCAACCCCCCCCCCCCTGCTCCTATTGTCGAGCATCTGATCACCGGGTAACGTCGTGCCCGAAATTATTAGGTAAACCGGTTCCAGCGAGGCGAACTATCGCCAAGGAGCGCCGCTGGTGCTGTTCATGTCTGGGAGGGCACCTCCAGCGAGACTGTCCGCATCGACGGCCCTGTCTGCATTGCCAGGGCCATCACCATGCAGTTTTGTGCCTGGGTGCGAACGGCGTCTCCTCTCGGGGCTCTGCCAGGCCCTCGACCCCCACGGGCGGGGGCGCTTAGCCACGCCCTCTGCCGGGCGACAATCGGCGCCCGCCGGCCAGCCACCAGGCCCCTAAGTTTGAAAGGGGTCCCTCCCCCGACCAGTCGGGGGGTAATTCCCCCAGGGGTGTCATCACCCTCCCTCAGCGTGTGGAGAGGAACTTCACGGCCACTCATCGGTCCGCTGGACCCTTCTCACTCCCGTTAGCTGAGTGGCCGCGACTGATGTACCACTGTTCCCCATTTGATGGAGGCGGCCCTAACTAGCTGCCGCCTTGGCTCCCACCACGGCCACCTCCACTGAGCCTTAAGTCGTCAACAGTCCACTTGTCAAAATGTTCTGTTGCCGACGGCCTCAGTGAAGGCGTACAACCCGAGTGGCGACTGTTAGCGGTTGTGCTCGATTGATCCCGGGTTCACGCCATGTGGTCTCCTCTTGGTGGTGGGAAGATTGGGGCCCCTCTGGAGCGTTGAATCACGCTGTCAAGGGGTATTAGATTTGGTTGGTCGAGCACTTGGTCAAAAAAATACTTGAATTAAAATTAAAAAATGGTTTGGGCTTTCCGCGAAATTTTCCTATTTGTAGCGGTTTAAATTAAAAGAATTGAATTTAATCTACTCCTTTAAATGCTACTGCATGTGTTTTGTAAATATATTTAATCACTGTATTTGATTGTTGCGTCTGTTTGCTGAAAGGAAAATTTGAATTCATCTGAAATTGAATGGCGCACTATTTGAAAAATTATGTTTATATTTATGATAGTGTTTAATCATTTTGCTTTGCGAAGAAGTAGGGCTGTCCCTTACGTTATTGTTTTGTTTAATTTGCAAGTTGACCTATGCGCATCGGTGATTAATTTGGTTGAATTAATTCTGTAGTTGAACATTGATGCTTTTGAAAAATTAGTTGAAATATGAGCGTAGGACTACTTGCCTAACAGGCTAGCTAGTTTTGGAGATTATCAGATTGAAATCAGCTGCCGCACTATTTTAGTAAATGATAATATGGTGGGTGGCCTGGCTAGGCCTACTTGTTGAAAATTCATATTAGGGACTATCTGTGCGTTTCGTTCGGCTCTCCACAGACTATGTTCATGTGGAATTTGTGGGTGCGCTCTGCACTGAAGCAACAGCTGGCACAAAATTTGTCTGGGCAGCTTCGTGTAGCGTCGCTGTTTGCAGAGCTGATCCGGTCGGATTGCGGAACTAATCATAGGGGCACAGATAGGTGTTTGAAAGAGGTCGTCGGACTTCTGTCCAGTACAGGACTTATTAAAGTGCTGCGATGCCCAGGAGGGGCATCCAGTGGAGGCTGACCCTCCGGCTTGCCACATTAGGGCTATCTTTTGAGGCGTTGGTTAGGGTTGCAAGATCTGATGGGGTGCCTAAGGTGGCCTAGTTTGGTTGTAGATTCGGTCTTGCAACTTGTCGTCGCGACCTTGTCCCGCTGACCGGGTTGCTCGCGGACCTAAATCCTTATGTCCGGGACGGGGGTTTGTTCGCGCCAAACGCTATTGTCAAGAATCGACGCCAGAGGGCACTCGGCTCGGTGCAAACTGGTTTGAAGTTCGGCCGAGCGTGGCAAGAGCGGGCGGGTCGCGAGCGAAAAGTCAGTCATCTGCCAGCTGTGCTAATGTCTGCACGCTGTTAATTTTGTGCGGGAACCGCGGAATAGTTAGGGCGTTTAGTAAATATCCTGTCTAGGAATTACAACGCGCATTCCCTGTTTGGATAGCCTTTCCCGGG